AAAAAACATACACTCTCCTAACTGAGAACTAATCTGTTCTTAGAAGTTTGGGTTTTTTGTATTTGAATTCATAAATACCCATGACCTAACCACTTCTGCAACCAGCAACTGTGACTAAACAATACATAATTCCTGCTAAGAGCAATAAGCAAACACTTATTTACCTGCCAGGCCACAAAGGAAGGAGTCTCTACTTTTCAGTATATTCAGAGATCTATAACAACTTTCAGTAACACAGCAATAATATATAGAGTAATTAGTGTGTGCCTGTTTAAATACATATATAGTATATATATTCTAGGCAATGTGAAAAACTCATATCCTGACATTCTCCTTTCAAGCAGAAGTTATTATTAATATTGAAGCTGTGATGGAAGCCAAAAAAGTAAGCATTTTGGAATGCTACCATTTCCTGCTGTGTGAAAAGTTCACAGGAGAAAAGTTTCCTACCCAAGTCTGCAGAAGTTCAGTATTGTTTTTTTTTTTTTTAAATTTATTTTGTTTTTTTTTTTTTAAACTGATGATCCCATGATGGGGGTGGACAAGAAATTGGTTGAAAGGCCACAGAGGGTGGTCATCAATGGTTCTATGTCCAGGTGGAGGCTGGTAACAAGCAGCATCCCCCAGGGGTCTGTCTTGGGACCAGTGCTCTTTAACATCTTTATCAATGACAAAATTGAGTGCACCCTCAGCAAGTTTGCTGATGATACCAAGCTGAGTGGTGTGGTTGACATAGTGGAAGGAAGGGATGCCATTCAGCGGGACCTCAAACAGGCTTGAAAGGTGGGCCCAGGTGAACCTAATGAGGTTCAAAACAGCAAATTGCAACATTTTGCACCTGGGCTGGAGGAATCCCAGGCATCTATACAGACTGGAAGGAGCGGTCTTGAAAGCAGCCCTACAGAAAAGGACCTGGGGGCCTTGATGGATGAAAAGCTTAACAAGAGCCAGCAGTGTGCTCCTGCAGCTCATAAAGCAAATGGTATCCTGGGCTCCATCAGAAGAGGGGTGGCCAGCAGGGACAAGGAGGTGATTGTCCCCCTCTATTCTGCTCTTGTGAGGCCCCATCTGGAGTATTGCGTCCAGGTCTGGAGCTCCCAGTACAAGACAGACAAAGAGCTGTTGGAGAGGGTCCAGAGGAGGGCCACAAAGATGACCAGGGGACTGGAGCACCTCCCTTATGAAGACAGGCTGAGGGAGCTAGGCTTGTTCAGCCTGGAGAAAAGAAGGCTGTGGGGTGACCTCATTGCAGCCTTTCGGTACCTAAAGGGAGTCTACAAACAGGAGCAGAATCAACTCTTTGAAAGGGTAGATAACAGCAGGATGAGGGGAAATGGTTTTAAGTTGAGGGAGGGAAGATTTAGGTTGGATGTCAGGGGGAAGTTCTTTACGGAGAGAGCGGTGAGGTGCTGGAACAGGCTGCCCAGAGAGGATGTGAACATCTCATCCCTGGAGGTGTTCAAGGCCAGATTGGATGGGGCCCTGGGCAGCCTGGTCTAGCATTAAATGGGGAGGTTGGTGGTCCTGCATGTGGCAGGGAGGGTTGGAGATCCATGATCCTTGAGGTCCTTTCCAACCCTTGCCATTCTGTGTCAATATGGGGATGAACTAAGATGAAAAAGGGAATGGTTTGCCTAAGGGAATAGAAGATAATATCTTTAAATCTTTGATTTTGGTCCAAAACATGCAACTCTGAATGCTAAATGCAGAAATTTGTAACAGGGCACTTCCTCATCCTTGGAAACAAAGCATAATAATAATAAGGAGAAAAAATATATATTAGCATAGATAAAGAAAATGTATATATACTGCAGCCATTCAAAACCACTGCCAATCACTTTGTATGTGGCATATTCTAATCACCACCTATTTTAACATTTGAGTCTCTAACTGGACTTCTTTATTTCAGCTTGTTACTTCCAGTAGATCACCTGCGCACTGCAGACATAGGACAAACGTAATACCTTATGTATCCTGGGTACACCTGTATGCCTGTATAATGAATCTAAAAATTCTGCTCATGAAGAAGCAAAACTGCTTCTGACAGATTCATGGCAGACCAGGCAAAGTATTCACAGGGAGGCCAGTAGTCAGATACTGAAGAAAAAAAAAAAAAAAAAAATCTGAACTCACCTAACCAGTGAAAGATATCTGACTACGCAGCACTCCTTCTCAGGAAGCCACTACAGGTCCAAGAGGTGCTCTCCCTTCAGTGGCCAGCCCTTATATGAGCCCAGTGTGGCTCCACCCCTTGTAGTCACCTGGGGAGCACAGGTGCAAACAATTTGCCTGTGCTCCCTGGGCCAGTCACACTGCTTCACCAGGTGCTCAATCACCAGTTCAAGCCATGATCCAACAGTTCCTCTACACTACCCATACACTATGGCCAATTTTCCATATGCCTGGCTGGACCTCAAAAATTACAAGGCAAAGAAAAAGTAATTATTTTTCCATAAAGTCAGTAGAAATCACTCACAAAAAAAACAAAAAACCACACATATAATAAAAGCAGCAGCAGTCTGCAGTAGAGTCAGCAGGTATGTGTTTCACTCATGGTATTTCACTTGCAGAAGTTCCAGTTGAGTACCTGCTGAAAATCCAAAATTGTACTTCGTTTATATTTCAAACCATAATAGTCATACTCTTGTTGCTGTTAGAGTAACAGGGGAAAAAAATCTGGGATTTTGTTATATATTACATAGTTTCCAGTTCCAGGCCTAGTAGAAAATAAATTTATTGCAAATAGTAGAACTTATAAAAGAGAAATAGTGATGAACATAGAATGCTATACTCCATCTATCGTTTTTTCAGCTGAACAAAGCCTTTGCAAACACAAAGAGGTATTTTTCCCCTGTTGAGAAACAATGTATCTTATAACCTGCAAAAGACGCCATAAAATGAAAGCAAACCTGATTTCTGTAAAAAGAAACTGTTTTAAAAATGCAGTATGAGCATAAATATTTAATTGCTTTGAGCATGTCATAGAACTCAGAATTTTGTCAACAATGAACCAAAAACAACTGAAAATATTATAGTAAGAAATATCCTATGGAAAGGGGCTTCTCTTAACATCTTTCATTACTTTAGCATAGTCGGACTGACCAAAAAAAAAAAAAAGCTTTAAAGTGTTACTTCATGTTTGAACTTTGTAAGAGCCCATAAGTCATAAGGTTCTAACATATACAGTGCTAAAGAAAATCAATTATTAACGTAGGATTTTGGTAGAATAATATTTTACCATCCAGTAATTTTGCAAATGTTTAAGAAACTCAACAAACCATGCAAAGTAATAGGAAAAAAACAAGGGTATTTTCAAAGACCCTGAGATTACTTGGATAAATTACAACCTTGCAGGTTGCCTTAGTATGAAGATAAAACAAACACATATTGAAGCAGCATTCATATGAATACAATACCTCCAAAGTTTCAGACAAATGGGACAGACAATAAAGCATTCATTTTATAGATCACGTTATTTTTTGGGGGGGAGTCTGCTAGTTGCTTCAACCCATTACAAACTGCTGGCAGTAACTAAAGCCAGAACCTGGTGAAGAACATATTTTTCGACTCATATCAGAAACAGTCTAAGAAGTGCCATATACACTGCCCAAACAAATTTGAGCTAATTTTCTATAAATAATTCACTCAACCTTACAAACCTCATGTACTGGTTTCAGCTGGGATAAAGATTACATTCTTCATAACACCTGATATGAAGCTATGATTTGGCTGTAGGTGAAAAACAGCTTTGTTGCTGTGACCAAAGCACAGGACTCGGCACTTGGACTTGTTAAAGCTCACACAATTGGCCTCAGCCCATTGATCCAGCTATCCAGACCTGTCTGTAAGGCCTTCCTACCCTTAGGCAGATCAACCCTTTCTTCCAACTTAGCATCGTCTGTAGACTTACTGAGGCTGAACTCAATTCCCTCCCTCATTCAGATCACCAGTAAAGATATCAAACAAGGGTTGGCCCCAATATTGACCCCTGGGAAATAGCACTAGTGACTGCTCATCATGTGGATTCAACTCCATAGAAAGAAGTATTCAGTACCTGAGAAAATTAGCTGTGCTTGGTTATGGTATATAACAACCTGAATAATAATCAATTATTCTAAAATCCAAATACTATCATGTGCTCATGATCCAGGTGGCAGAAATTCACTGGCAGTAATGATCTGGAAAGATGGAAAGGAAAGAGTGGTGGGTGAATTAGCTGACCAATTCAGACATACGAGGAAAATTTCTCTTTCCCCCTATAAAGCTACTTTACATATTTAAAACTGAATTTGAACAGATTGTCATAATCACAGCTATGGAAAAAAAAATCAGAAAATATTTGTTAAGAATATTTTCTGTGTTTTGTTAATCTTTCAGTCTTGTTAAAAAAGTTTTCACCAGACTTCAGTGGTATGGATGTATGGATCACTGCAGGAAAAAAAAAATTATCACTGGCAAATGTAAAGGTATATATAAATATACACCCATAAGTAACAAACACTTACATGCTACAGACAAATTATCAATAGATTTACTTGAAATAAAAATAGAACCTGATGAGAAATTAAGTTATTTCAAAATTTCAAAAAGAAAACAAACAAAAAAAATGCATCTTCAACTTCTCATATATGAAATTTCAAAGCATACTATCCCAGATAGTCCATCTCTCTGCAGTGCTTCAAGGTTTCAGCTACAATTTCTGAGTTCGTTACAAATCTAGAAATTGTTTTAGTTGGGATAAATTAGGCATATAAAAGATAACCCCCAAATCTTACATTAATTCTCTTTCCTCAGTGATGAACATTTGATTTTTCTGCATAGGTTGTTTTCATTCTAGCAGCAGCAAACCAGTTTAGACAGTGAATCATTTTATACTGTTCCCCAGGCATTGCTAATCATGGTAATCTAATCTGTTCAAATTAACCCACATGCCACAGTTGCACAGACAATTAACCCTTGTATTTCAGGGGGTTGTGAAAATCAAATATAAACTACATTACCATAATCTTCTGTATGCTATGTAGATTGCTTCAGCATGCATAATTGCTTGTAAAGATTTTTCTTTTAAATGGTTTCTTCCAACATTCAGATAACATCTGGGTAAAATTCAGAGGAAGAGAGAAACAACAAAATCAATTCAACTTCTCAATAATTCACCATTCCACACAGAAAATACAAATCTATTTATCATTAAAATCTTGGACTCACAACATTTACTGGATGTGAATCAATGAAGGCAGAATATCTCGTCTGTTTCAACAGCAGGGATTCCAAAGGCTATTCCTCTACAGCTCAATTTTCCCTACACAATCAGCCTTGTGACATCACTCCCTAACGTATAGCACAGCATGATAGTGGAATAGGGGCCCCTTACACATCACAGAACATCCATAGGGGCTTTCCAAGAAGAGACTGAAGAGGACTCTGTCAGTGGAGTTAGCACTTGCCTCGCACCTACACTTGAACATCAAGGACAGCCAGGATGGACAAGTACAGCTGCAGTACAAGAACAAGGCCAGGTCTTGCTCTCAAGACAGCTCACAAACCTGAGAGCTTGAGGCAAGAATGGACATCAGACATCTCAGTCTTTGCAGTTTTTTGTGTACTGCTTCATCTAAGGATCTTCCCTTAAAACATGAGCTACCTTGTATTATTTCTATTCAGGTCTGCTCAAAATTATCTGGGGGAAGCAGGGTTATTTCTTAATTTAGGACAGACTGAGATGAAAGGATATTTTCTTACTTGAGCATTACTCAATTCAGGACAAAATACTCTCAGAGCATGGCTACTTTGGAATTTTCTTCTGATATTTCTCGTGCTTCATGGCCTAACAGATGGCAGTTTCTGAAAAGAACACAAAAAAAGTGTTACCTTCTTGACAAGTAATTTGACTTTCATATGACTTAGCTGACTAAAAAGTCACTGCCCTATATCTACCATCATGTAGGCCTTGCTTTTGTTCAAGACTGTATAAAAGCGGACTTCTTTCAGAGCAGGTTCAGACAGCAAAGTTTCTCTAGTAATTGCTAAGATAATTACAGAATCACAGAATCACTAAGGTTGGAAAAGACCTTCCAGATCATCCAGTCTAACCATCCACCTATCACCAATGGTTCTCGCTAAACCATATCCCTCAACACAACATCCAAACGTTCCTTGAACACCTCCAGGGAAGGGGACTCCACCACCTCCCTGGGCAGCCCATTCCAGTGCCTGACCACCCTTTCAGAGAAGTAGTATTTCCTAATATCCAGCCTGAATTATTTGTGCCTTGTCTCCTGCCTGGAGAAAGTAAAATTCTATCATAAATTGGAGTTCATACAAGCATCTCAACAAGAGCAAGGATCTGTGGAATAGGGGTTCAAGGACATCTTTTACAGCATATAATGAAATTAATGCTTACCACCTTCTGTGGTCTAGAGACATTCCGTCGACCTGCAGTATAGATGCTCACAGAACATCCTAGCCAGGGAACGCCTCCCTGAGGATTTCAGTAATACTCAAGTATGATTTAACACAGAAATAGTCACAGCCCAAGCAGACAGTAGTAACACAAAGTTGGAAAGACAATGATGGCTAAATGAGCACTGTGACGCATTTAACACTGTATACTGCTTGTAATAGATTTAGCTGCCAAAAATTTCTAACAATTTTTCTTCTGTATGTTGCATAAAAGTCTTTTTTTTTTTAACTTAAAAACTCAATTTTTTTTGATACACACAGATTACACGGAAAAAATTATTTCTTAATTAAATTGGGAAAGCAGATGGAATCAGATTCTTAGAGCTTGCTTCACAATTGCATTTACCACCAATGTTTAATCATTGTTAGTAACTGATAATAAGCATATGAACTCGGACTAAGAATGTTAATTCAGAAACTTGAAGGATAGGCACAGTAACTTTCCCTGCACAGTAACAACACCATCTTTAAGAAAAAGACACAGTTACAAAATTAATTCAGACTATGACCTGCATTCATTGGCGATAGTAAATTTAGAATGTGGTAGGTATTAAAAGCAAGCAGAAGAGTCACTCTAGCTACAGGAGCAATGCATAAAGATGGATCAAGAAAAAATATATTTGGATAAATGTTTAGTGTGTTACATTCTCATGGCCCAATAATATAATTACCTATGCTATGCCTCAAATGACTTCAAAGTTAATGTTAGTTGGTAGTAAATAATCAGGATACTATTTAAAATACAAAGTACTTATCAACATAGTCTAAATAATTTTTTTAATTTAAGAGATTATCTGAAGATCACTGAATAATGCCTCACTAAGTCCCTTGATGATGTTTCCATCTGACAGTGCAGCCATATGCTTTGTCAGCTGAAACATGACTCAGTTTCATGCTGTATTAATACATCAAAACAGCAAACATTGTAAACTAGTGTAAATTCTTTGATGCGCTAGTTCCTGCCAGCCTCGCTGCCTATTCGTAGTCATTCTTCCCATTTAGGAGGTTTTACAATTTTTCAGTATACTGTTGTTGGGTTTTGTTGTTGTTGTTTTTTGGTTGGTTGGTTTCTTTTTTTTTTTTTTTTTTTTTTTTTTTTTTTTTTTTTTTTTTTTTTTTTTTATGTTGTCTCTCTGAGATTTTTAAGAAATCTTTTTGCAGGCAACAGAGGATTGTAAACAGACTTAGAGAAAAGCTCAGATACTTCAGGAAATCAGAAAGTTTAGTTGTCTACACTGCATTTATCTTGAGACAGAGATTATCATATCCAAATTCCCTTGCAATTTATTAAGCAAACAGTAATGGGACAAAGAATAGAATCTATGCAATAGCATTTCCAGTAACATTACGTTTTATTTTAAACTCCAGTACTCAGCTGACCCTGCAAGTCCCAGTGACTAAAACTACTTTAAATTTTTTTCTGTCTTTCAGTCAAAAAGATACATTCAGCTGCTTCTTTCTCATTAGGGACAGTTGCTTAATCCTTTTGTTATAGATTTTCCTAAGAAATTCTTGCTGTACACTCTTTTCTTTAATCCCCTGCTGTTTGTTGTCCCCAAAGATCCAACTGCAAAGATCAAAGATTTCTTAATACTCTTCAGCAACGCAACTCATAACTTAGAAAGAAGTAAAACTTACGTCACACTAACATTACCCAGAGTTTATGTGAAAGAGATTACATCCTAATCACATTTTAATTTTATAAATTTGATTTCACATGCACAAGTGCTACAGTTACTGTTCAGTCAAATTCCTAAAGAAAAAACATGAGAAATATATAGCATTCAATATGTCACAACACATTATACATGGAAGCAAGGATAGGTACACAGCAATACAAACACTAAGAAACCGTGCAACTCTTAAAAAGACTTCTAAGAAATCTTAATTACAATTATTTCTATTATTAATTGCCTTAACTACAATTATTTCTCATCAATTAACTGCACAAAATTGAAGATTTGAACACCTCTGTATCTGTTATCAGCTATTTCTACAGGGATAACACCCTTGTAAATAAATTAAAACCATGATTTTATGGAAAAAACATGCAGAATTCATGAAGAAAACGATCTGTTCAGTTCCCATTACCCAAGTGAAATAATGTTTTGTGTTCCTTTTCCTTCAGCAAAACATTTCTTGGTGTGGTATTAAAATTTCAGAAAAATAAGAATATTATCTGTAGACTGAGAAAAGTAAAGCAAATGAGGACATTTCAGTCAGCTAAGGATTTAAGTGACTGCCAGAGGGCAATGCAGACACAGACTCACTAAAGACAGGGGGAAATTATTCTCTTGGATAGGGAAGAGGAGAAAATACTTTTCATCAGTTCTGTTGGATCTTTAATTAACACCTCATACCAAACACATTTGCAGCATACAACATACTGCCCAAGGAAAGAGAAAGCTCCTCTTTCCTAGCTTTTCTCTCTCCTTACACTGGAAGGGTAAAAGCAGTACATAAACGGGTTTCTCCAGTGAACGCACAATACCTGGCCATGTGAAAGTATCAGCAAGAAAAATAAGGGAGTTCTATTCCTCTATCATGGATGCTGTCAAGTGGAATTTGAATTGTGTGTTTTTATCCTGAAACAGTATTTAGGCACAATATGTCTGGAACTACTAGGAACAGTGTTGAGTTCTACCTAAAGTTTTGTTGTTTTTTCTATTAAATTTTGGTGCAAGGTTTATTTTCAAAGGAAAGGACCATATTGTCAAGGAAATACCATAATCCTAAAGACACTAACATTTCATGCAATATCCTGAGTTACACTGAATTTGATAGTTACCCTTGGAATTTCCATATTTTTCAGTTACAAAACTTTAAAAAGCGCTTTTTCTAAAATACCTAGCCATAGTACCAAAACAACTAGTTAAAAAGTAATGTAAAGAAAAAAATTGTAAGTAGAATCACACACTTCTCTTTCTAGGACAAACAGCTGAACAGTAGAGGTGTACAGCCAGAAAGCAGCTTCAGGGTAAAATCTGTCTCATACTTCCCTATTTCTTGTTTTGACTAAATTATTTTTTATGTATTAACTTTATTATAGTTTTTGAATTCTTGTATTTTATTATGATAATTTTTTAACCAAAATGGATTCTGTTTCATGCAAAAATGTTATGAAGCACTAAGGTTTTAGTTCTTTACATGCATGCTATAAACATGCATACTTCAGTTGAAGACTGAAAATCCTAGTTTCTAATCATGTTCAACATGGAAATTTGCTATTACAGCTAAGGTTAATTTTTCCTTATAGAACCTATTCTTTCTCAAATTATAAGATATTCTCCTTTTTTTTTTTATTGTCTTGTATGGGTGATTTACTCCTAGTTTTACACTATCTGTAATACCAGGAACCTATCAAAATTAAGGTATGTATTTGTGTATACACAAATAAACAGAATGAAAGTCAATTAAAAAGAAAAAAAGAACAAACTCAAAACAACAACAAAAAAATCAATCCACAATTAAAGAAACAAATAATCAAACAACAACAACAACAACATAACACAAATACAGCCTCCTTAAGGACTCATTCCTTGTCTGTTGAAAAACTTCTACATGCATTTTAATACATTTGTTATATGAAATGAGGTTATACGTGATGGGATATTCAAACTTTATTCAGCTTTAAAAGTTCTGGAAGAAGATACGACAATCAACGGATCTGATTCTTTTCTACACAGTTCCTATGTTAGAACTAATCTAAGCACTTTTCAGACTTAGCCTTTAACATCTATGTTTTTCCAGAATGTAAAATGCTCTACTTGTATCTGTTCTACTACTTCCTCCCATAAACTCTTTTTTCACTAAATTAACATTAGAAAAAAGCTACTGATGTAAGCAAGGTCTTATCGCTTCACATTATGAAAGCCAAGGCATACTTAAAGCTAAGCACCAATAACTAATGGTTAAAAACTGTTGTTGCTTTTCCCGCTGCTGTAAAAAATCAATTATAAATTTTTTTCTTATGTAACCTTAATGTCTATTTTCAAGTTTTATTTCCACAATTTCCAGAACTCAGTTCTATGTATATGTAGAATTAACTAATGCATCAGAGTAAATAAATGTACTTGTTTCTCTATAAGCAGATAAAATGCCATGATCATTAAAATTAAACCACCAACAGTAAACTTTTAGTGATAATCATAAAAAGAATGGGGCATTGTGAAGATCAACAAATTTGTGACAATTCTGTTAAATACACTGTTGTGTATTTAAGAAAACAGTACACCATTGCAAGACGGCAAATGATAAGCTTTTATTTTCTTCTGAATTTGTTTTTTATACTTTATAGTTAATAGTCTTTCCTTGCATAAGCATTTCATGTATACCACACTGTCATTAAGGTTGTGCAACTAAAGCAGAACGAGTCTAT